CCAGCTGACCAGGGTGAGAAGTGGGCGTGGGGGCGAGGTGCGTGGCTGGGTGAGGAGGGTGTGCTGAGGCCTTGCTCTCTCCCCAGGAGGGAGTCCGCCAGCAGCTGGAGCTGGGCCACTTCCTGCGGAGGCGCTACAAGTCCTTTCTGAGTCCCCAGTACCGGCGGGAGGAGGTACTGGCACCTTTACCTCTACCTGGCTCCCTGACCTCCCAGTGTCCCTTTGGGTGCCACCTCTGGCCTTTGCCCTCCATCAATTTGACCCACAGTCTATGGACCTCAGAGTCACCAATAAACCCACAGTGACTTCTAATCTCACCTCATTCTGACCCCCTGACCTCTGACCTTACTTTCTGGCCTCCACCTTTGTCTTCACTCCCACTGACTCCAACTAGACCTCTGACTCCTAAACTCAATTCTTTCCAACTTGTCCTCCTGACTTCTGACCCTGATCCCTCTGAGGACAATATACCTAACTGGCAACATCCCGCCTCCCATCCTCAGTTTGACCTCTTGCCTCCATTCCCCTGACTCTGATGATCTTGACTGTCATCTACCCAGCTGACTCCTTCAACCCTCATCTACCCAACACCTGCCCTCCAACCTGAGGGCACCCACCTTAAATGCCTAATCTTTAATCTGTTTTCATGACCTTCAAGCAACACCAAACTGAATCTAAAGCCATTGATTTGCCACCACATCTGACCCTGTGCCCCTTCCTGTTGCACCCCCCCCCCCCCCCCCCCCCCGCCCCAGGTGTACATCCGGACCACAGACTTTGACCGGACCCTGGAGAGCGCTCAGGCCAACCTGGCTGGGCTGTTCCCGGAGGCAGCCCCGGGGAGCCCTGAGGCGGACTGGAGGCCAATTCCTGTGCACACCGTGCCTGTTGCTGAGGACAAGGTCTGGGGCTGAATGGGGGTGGGAGAGAATAAAGATAGAGATATTGAGATGGAGAAGGACGGAGGTGGCTCAAGGCCTGAGGGTTGGTCAGCTTCCAGAAGCCTCATATGGCTCAAAGCAGTGAACCTGTCTCTGGGCTAAGCTGTCCATGGGCAAGCCACCCCTCCCATGAGACTCAGCTGGATTGGGGAGAGACTGGGAGGGAGACAGGGCCTGAGACCCCGGGCCCACTGTTGTCCTGAGCCTCAGTTTTCTTCAGCTGCTGAGATTCCCCATGCGCAGCTGTCCTCGATACCATGAGCTGCTGCGGGAGTCCACAGAGGCCGCCGAGTACCAGGAGGCCCTGGAGGGCTGGACGGTGAGCAGGGTGATGGGCTGGCGGGGCAGGGTGCCAGGTTCTAGGCTCACCCAGCCTGTGCACCCAGGACTTTCTGACTCGCCTGAGCAACTTCACGGGGCTGACGCTGGTTGGGGAGCCACTGCACAGGGCATGGAAGGTTCTGGACACACTCATATGCCAGGTAAGCCCCCTGCCCTGTCCCTCCGGACCAAGGGGTTCAACTTTGCCCCATGCTACTGGGTTTCCCCATCTGCATACCAGGAATGGCAGCCCATCTTCTCTGTGGTTGCCACAAAGATTAAAGTGACTAATCCATGAAACAGGCTTATGGGAGCAGCTGGCACACTGGGCCACACAGAGGTGGAGGCTGTTTTGGCAATACTTTCTCTGCTATCCTGTAATCAGAAAAGCTCCATCTCTCTCTCTCTCTCCTCTCTTTTTTAAAAAAAAAAAAGTTAAAAAAATTAAAAAAAAAAAAAAAGAAAAGCTCCATAAACCAAAACTTGGGCAGCAGGAGCGGACCTGACGCGGTGCCATGCACAGAGGGAAGCGTGTGGGGTTACAGGGACCGCCCATGCCCTCCGTAATGTCTAGATCCCAAAGCGCCTCTGCCTAAGGTGTCAGATAAGAGCTGCTGAACTGCAGAATGAGACAACTGCTGCTGGGCGGTGGCCCATGCCTGTAACCTCAGGCTTAGGAGGCTGAGGCAGGAGGGTTGTCAGTTCAGGCCAGCGTGGCAGTTTAGTGAGACTGTCTCGAAATAAAAAAAAAGGGAGGGGGCTGAGGATGTAGCTCAGAGGCAGAGCACCCCAAGGTTCAATTCCCAGTACCAGGAAAAAAAAAATCACTATTGCCCACACTATGACTCCCCCCTCCCCCAGCCCACAAGGGCAGGAAGAACCAGCAGTTAATGGGGTAGGGCACCAGAGGGCCCAGGAGCACTAGGGGCAGCTCTGGATGTGCCCTGTCTTCCCTCCCTGTCTCTCCAGCGAGCTCACGGACTTCCCCTACCTTCCTGGGCCTCCCCTGATGTCCTGAGAACTCTGGCTCAGATCTCTGCTTTGGATATTGGGGCCCATGTGGGCCCACCCCGGGCAGCAGAGAAGGCCCAGCTGACAGGGGGTGAGGTGTGGGGCTGGGAGGTTGGGAAGGTGGGGGGTTGAGGTTCCTTCCTCTCCGGGTGGGTTCTAAGCACTGTTCCTGCCCTTTCAGGGATTTTGCTGGATGCCATCCTTTCCAACTTCTCCCGGGTTCAGCGCCTGGGACTGCCCCTCAAGATGGTCATGTACTCAGCTGTGAGTTCTTGGGAAGGGAAGGCAGTGCCTCATGGGCACAGGGATGAAGGTCACATTAGTTTGGGTGAGGAAGAGCTGGTGGTCCTAATGCAATCTCAGCCCACTGCCTTGGATACCCCCCCATCCCCGAATCCTACTCTCAGACTCTATCGCTAGAGGAACACTGTGGAAGGACAGGCTCTTTCACCAGTGTCCAACCATATATTGCGGTTACTTGATCATATTTAGTGGCTACCTGTCTCCCCCAGTGAGGAGGCAGGAGCAGGCTTGGTGGACTGGTTCTAAGTGGCTGGGGAATATCTGGGAGGCAGCTAGATGCCCAAGACTAGAGTTTGGGAAAGAGCCATCCAGGGGGGAACCCTGTCTCAGAACTTGGATCTCCCTGCAGCACGACAGCACCCTGCTGGCCCTCCTAGGGGCTCTAGGCCTCTATGATGGGCACACCCCACCCTATGCTGCCTGCCTCGGTTTTGAGTTCCGGAAACGTCTCAGGGACCCAGAAGATGGAGGGTGAGGARCTGGACATTGGACAGGGGAAATGGGCTGGAGGGGTGATGGACAGGCAGAGGGCACTGCCAAGGAACCTTCCTGGAAGGGACAGTTGGATGAGATTGACAGATTTGAGTCAGGAGCAATTCTCCAATTCAGCAGCTCTCCCCTGATCTGAGCTCTTCCTTCAGCCAGGGTCAGTGGTAGGTGTCACCCTCTCCTCTCTCCCTCCAGGAACATCACCATCTCCCTCTTCTACCGCAATGACTCTGCCAGACTACCCTTGTCCCTGAGCCTCCCTGGGTGCCCAGCCCCCTGTCCACTAGGGCACTTCCACCAGCTGACTGCTTCAGCCAGACCGCCAGTGCATGGGGCCTCCTGTCATGACTATGAGACTACCACTCCCCCAAGTGACCGCTCTCTACGCTGGGGTAGTAGTTGGGGGTCCCCCAGACCTGAGACCCACAACCCCCAAGTTCTTCCCACAGCCACCACAGTGCCCCTGCTGGCCGGAGCTGTGGCCCTGCTGGCTGTGCTCAGCCTGGGGCTCGGCTTGTTGGCCTGGAGACCTGGCTGCTTGCGGGCCTTAGGGGGGGCCGTGTGAGCTGGGAACTTGGGGCAGCCCCTCCCCTCAGCTGACTGGATCCCAACATGTGTTCTCCCGCTGCTCTGGCTTGTCACTGTGTCTGTGCGCGTGGAAAAGGGCTGGGCGGGCTCCCTGTCCTGGAAGCCAGTGTGCAGGTGGCACACACATGCATGCTGCATGGCTGCTTCTGTACCCCCACATAGACAAATATGGAGGTGTCTGTCCATCTCCACACCAGCACGGCCCCCTTGCTCCACACACCTCAGGCAGCAGCCCCTGTAGGGCAAGGATGATCACTCCAGGATGAGGGTGGCCAGCAAGGTAGGCAAGGACCACTCAGCTAAAGTTAGGTCCAAAACCAGCAAGCTCAGGCCCCAGCCACATGTGACAGGTTGGTCAATGTTCCTAAAGTATATTTTCTGATGCTAATGGAGGTGGGAAGCCATCTTTGGCCCCAGGAGGGAAGCTCCCCTCTCCCACCAGTTGAGAACCAGTGGTTACACCACCACTACACTGGAGCACCCTGGTCAGCCAACGCCCTGCCCTGCCCACCTGCTTGTGGTTACCACAGGGACTCCAATAATGAAGGCAACAGCTGTGACCCATTTGTACTTTCTGGCCCTGGGAGGCTGTTTCATGCTTGTAGCAGGTTCACAGACCCCATGGGGTGGGGGACCATCCTATTGCTAGGATCAGTTCCCACCTGGTCATATCAGGCTCACACTTCCATCAGATCACTGCAATGGAGATGGCCCTGAAGGTGGACAAGCCCATATGTATCCCCCCTACCTCAGACCCAGCCCATGTCAGGACAGCAAATACCACAGCTCACAAAGGGTGATATGCGTACCATTTATTGGGTACCTATGAAAACAGCACCACCAGTTGTCCCCAGACCTGTGATCCTGGTTCAGATCCCCCTAAACCTACCTCAGACACTGGCCCAAGGCCAGATGTACAAATTTGAGAAACCAGACCCACCTGGAGGGATGGCTGCCCCTCCCTGGGAGGCACTCAGCAAAGCACACCTTAAAATGGAAGCATTACAATAGTTAGAAAAGGCAATGACCTTCACTAAAACCAAAATGTCACACATGCTTAACATATTAAGTAAAAATATTGCCTCTAAAACCTAAAAAAAGTAAAAAGATGCCAGGTGTTATAGGCTACGGGGTATTCAATTGGCCCCTAGTGCTTTTGGGCTCAAATGGCAGAGGGTGAGTCACTACTGTGCCCAATCACCCTGCAGCCAGGCCAAGATGAACAAATTGGCACAACCCACTCCAAGGCCCAGTTGGGCAAGTGGCTGTTTTTGTAGCTACTCCCTTAACATCTCTGCAACTGGAGTAGCCAGGGACAAGACACCCCTTTCTTTTTTAGGGTCTCTGAACATGACCTACAACTGCTTGAGATACATGGGAAAGGTATAGACAAAGGTCCTCCCTGAACTCTGGGCTGAAAGCAGCTCTTCTGGAGTTTGGCCTCCCACCCCACACACTGGAAGGGGCTAGTCATGGCATATGGGCGGCTCCTCCCCACAGGCCTGGTCAGAGTAGGGAGGTGGAGGCGGCTGCTCCTCTCCTAGCCCATAGACTGGCTGGCTGCGGCTGCGCTTGGCCTCTTTGATGTACAGCTCCAGGAGGACCTTGGTGGGCTGCTTATCCACTCTCTCCCTGGGCACCCCGTGGCTGAGTAGCCAGCCTGTGAGGTCCTTGCGTGTGGGGTTAGGCCCCAGCATGAGCTTGGCACGGCCTGGCTGGCTCTGGCGCCACAGCAAACCCACATCAGCAATTGTCTGGATCTCCATCACAGCCTCCAGCACGGTCATGCCCTTGACCAGCAGGCTGACCAGTGAGAGCCGCAGTTCTGAGGGTGCAGCTGTAAGCAGGCGTCTCTGCAGGCCCTGAGTGAAAGGCACGTCCTCTGGCGCTGCATACTCGGGCTCAGGAGGTGAGAGTGGCGAAGGCAGCTCGCGGTAGATCCAGTCGAGCATGCCCAGCTCACGCACCAGCTGGATGCCCTCCTCCATAGTGGTCCAGGGACGGAAAGGCAGTTCAGTGGCCTCAAAGTGCAGGAAGGATTCCCAGCGCTGGCGCCAGGCCTGTAGTAGCCAGGTGAGCAGTGTCTTACAGCCACCCCGCAGCGTCTTGCAGTGGTAGTTGAAGATGGCATCATGGGTTAGGTCACCCAGCAGTGCCAGCTCCCCGGAATTCAAGGACAGAGCTGGGCCCCCCTGGTCATACACCCGCAGGATCCAGGTGATCATAAGCTCGTTGGGGTTCTGCTTGAAGCGCCGAGAAATGGCCAGGAGCTCAGTATATGTATAGTAGCGGTCTCCCCGGCCCATCTGGGTGGGTGCCAGCACTCTCTCAGCCATGGCCACAGCTGCCCCAAGGCAGGGAAGAGCAAGAGGGTCAGGAAGGGCACTGCTGCAAAAGCTGTGTGAAGTAGAAAGGGCCACACCCCACCCAGCACCTCCCTGGAGTGGGGGCCCTCAAATCCCCAGGTGTCTAAGGTCCTGGGTGGCACTATATCTTCAGGGGCAGTCAGAGCCCAGTGCTGAATATCATGGGGTCCCCAAGCTCAACCCTGATACGATAGCAAACCAGGCCCAGCACAGCCCTCCCAGCACAGGGTTACTATGGAGATTAAGGAAGCCACTGCTTCAAAGTACAGGATGCTGAGCTGCGCTCCCTACCAATAGGCAGCTCCTCCGTCCTTACCAGGAGGGAAAGCTGRGCAGCAGGACACCTGGAGAAGCCACCTGTAGACAGAAAGGAGAAGGGGAGGGAAAAAAGGTCCGTGAGGTACAGGTAAATCATTGTTATCCCAATCCATCCCCTACCAGGAGCCAGGACCCCTCAGACCCCCAGGTGTCAAAGGTCCTGGGGGGCACCTTATCCTCAAAGAATGGTCAGAGCCCAGTGCTAGACATCACAGGGGTCCTGGTGTTACCCCCTTATTCAGATGATCTGCAGTCAAGTAACCTAAGCCACCCTGAGGCCACTCCTCCACATGGAAGGTTGGACTGGAGGTGCTTATGGGCAGCCTACGGGCAAGTGGCAGATCCGAAGCCCAGGTCTGCTTTTTCCCTAACCAAGTCTTGCAGCTTACCTGGCACCACCAGTTACTCTAACTTGGAAAGTGACCTCACCAGGACTTTTCTGTGAAAACCAGAACAGGGCCTCAACCTTCCACTGGGACTCTGGTAGAGCTCAGAGTTCATGTTTCTCAAGGTGTTTCTTTCCTCTGCTCACCTGACATCCCTGCCCAAATAGCACCAAGCTGACTCCCTTTCTCCAGGACTTCCCCAATCCACACCTGTTCAGTGCTCTGCAGGGGACAACCTGGATTATCAAAGGTCTTAAGTCTCCAAGAGCAGAGATACACTTTCAGGTCTATTTCATTGCAGCCATTCTCCTCCCTACTCTTGACACCCCAAGAGCAATAGAAAATCCTGGAACTGAGAACACTTGTTTCTTTTCCAATAACAAATATATACCTATCTTATGATGTAGCTCTTTTAAACACAAAACATTCTCAAGATAAATCCTGATATTTTTACAATGGCTATTGTGTAAATTTAGTGTTCCTTCAATTATCAAATTATATCCAAATGTTTGACTGTAAGCTACTGTTTTGCTTAAAGGTACACTGTACCCAGTCCACAAAACCTGCAACATGAGAGGCAATAATAATGCTGAGTCAATGTTTCATTTCCTCTGTTCAGTCTGAAAATTTGATTACTCCTTCTCCCTAAAACCCAAATACTTTTCTTCTTCCCCATCTTATTCAACCCTTTGCCTTTGGAAAGCAGGAAATGCCACCAGCACCACCCAACTGTGCAAAGGATTCAGACCATCTGCTCCTGAAGATGCACCCACCTTAWGAATACAGCAACTGAAGCTTAGGAGAGGGATTGCTCTGACCTCTATAAGCCAAGGAACAGCAGAACTAGGGTCTGGACGTATGAGTAGCTGACWGGGTTCCCATGGCTATAAAATGGTTTTAATATGTAATACTGAGTAAGACTGCTGGCACATGTGTAAGATATCTTGTATTTTAGACCTGGATGGATCAGGGCATTGGAGCAAGGCTTCTTACCAAGACGGGATGATGGTGGGTAACCCCTCAGCTAGAAGATAGACCTGTAACATAGGAAGGACTTGATGAGGGTGTGGAAGAAACAGTTCATATGTCCAGACCATCAAAACCAGGGTTCCTCAGACCCCCAGGTGTCAAAGGTCCTGGAGAGCACTGTGTCCTCAGGAATGATCAGAGCCCAGTGCTAGACATCATGGGAACCCTGGCCCCTGTGCAATCAAGGCCGCTCACCTTCAAAGACAGGAAAACACAAAACTCAACTGACCCCCAACTTCTCACTGTCATACTTCCACACAGTAGTGGTCCTGAGATGGACCTCCAAACTCATTAACACGAAGAGGGCCCCAATCTTTCCTGAACTAGCTATACCTACTAATGACCCTGAACCATGAACATTGCTAAGATGCAAATCCTTTAGTAGGAGGCCCGAGAAAAGGAAATGTTCTGGGAGAAAATAAAGCTAAGCAACATAAGCAATGACTGTGTCAGGTCTGAACAACTCTGCTGCGAGTCATTTAAAATGACTTCGGAATACTGAACACTAAGAAAATCGCAAATAACCATATGAAGAAATGGGCTTCATTAACACACAGCACGTCAGCCTWAGGGAACAAGTGTTGAGGTATTCTGGGTTAATTACAAACTTTATTTGCAAATACATTAAGATTAAAATCAGGTAGCCCACTCCAGGCTGGGGCTCCAAGGCAGGGTTTTGAAAACTAAGTTACAGAAGACCTTAAGTACTCAAGCCCAGAATTCAAGTTAACAACACCCTCTGACATTTGCACCACCCGTCAGAATTCTTGAAGGTGAGCAAAGGCCTCGTCTCCTTTCTGCTCTACCTGGAGACCCACTTCTTCCTTGATAAGTCGGCATGTCGTCTCTGCCCTTACAGAAACCCCAACACCCTCTTCTCTTCCGTCCCTCAAGTCACACACCCCAGTCAGCTGCCCGCAAAACCGACAAGATGGCGGAGACCCGCGACGTGGGCACAGAAATGGCGCAGCCCATCCGCGCTGCAGACAAAGGAAGGCCTGCCCGCCGCCCCGCGCCCGACCCACCTGGTGGAAGGAATCGCCTTCACCCTCCCCGCACTAGATCTCCACGCTCAACCCGCAACGCCCTCGATGAGGCCCAAAAGAAACCGAGACCCCGCCCACGCGACACGGCCACTCTCGCCGCAGCCCAGGACACCTCGCGACACGTGCGTCCCAGAGCCCGGCCGCACAGAGAGGCCGCGCGGAGCGAAAAGCACCATCTCACCTGCTTCACCCACTCCGCAAAACGTGCGCGCGCCGCAGCGAGTCCCGCTTTATAGTACGCGCCGCTCTCAAGGCTCGGCCCCCGGCGTCAGTCTGGTTTCCGCCGTGGGGCACCCAAGGTACGCGCCTGTGTCGGGAACTCGGCCTTGGAGTTAAGGAAAGGAAAAACGGCGGTCGTCCCTAGAATATTCCAGAACAAGCGGGAAGATATTGTCTCTAGAGGCGGGAAAAAACAGGTTCAAGGGAACATCTATTACGAAAATCTTGTCTCGCGCGTCAGGCAATTCTGGGGACTGCTCCAAACGAGGGCCGCCAAAAGAAAGGCCCCCGAGGATGGGTGGAGCCAGAAAGGGAAGCGACGGGAATTGCCAGCGCGGCAGTGGTGGAGCTGCGGTTGCAGAGGCGGCGCCGGCGCTGAAAGGCGGGCCCAAAGTGGGTCTCAGCCGCGTAGTGGGAGGCGGAGCCAGTGCAGAGATTGACAGGGGACGGTGCTGGGAAAGCACCGCGTGGCGCGGAGTTAGAGGCGCGGTGAGAGGTGGGGCCGCAGCGAGGACGCGGCGCGGGGAGGTGGGACTCCGGGGTCTCTGAGGAGGGCAGGGCCCCAACCCTTTGTTTGGTTTAGAATCTGAAGAAGAACTGGACTTGCAGCTCCCCACCGTTTAGGTGGTTCTAGGCCTGGGGTCCTGGATTCTTTGAGGGGTTGGAGATTCAGGGAGTGTCTTTCAATGAACGTGATTCTAAAGATGTTTATTTTGAAAGTTAATGAAGCTTTCCCACTCCAGACCTACTCACCAGAGCTTGCCACCATCACCTTTTGGGTGTGGACTTTGTACTTGGACACACACACGTGTGCACACACACGCACGCGCGCGCTCACACTCAGAGATACAGATGCTTTTTTTCGTTCCAGTTTGCCCCACAAACAGTCTTCCCGTGTAAGTGAAGTGGCACCCCCTCTCTCCACAGAAAATGCCTTAACTGGGCTTCTCCAGGAATTCTCACCATGGCTGATTTTGGGACTGTCAGCCAAAGAGTCTCTGAGAAAAAGTTCAATATGGATAAATTTCCATTTTCCTGTTGCCCTGTTTTGCTTGGCCACCAGCCAGGAAGATACCAGCACTTCAGGTGCTGGGCACCCCCTTAATAATTTCTCACAAATGTATCCAGTATAGTAGTTTGTAGAAATGTGCTAAGGAGGCTTCTGGCCTTGAGCTGGGCTTCACAGAGATGTCYACATTTTTTAAGATAAGACAAGATACCAACTGGGCTCCATGGTAACAGCTGGCAGGGGAAGAAAGAAAGAGGAGAAGAAGCTCTCCCCTTGACAGGTGCTGTCCTTGAAGTATTAACTTGCCCAAAACAGTGAAGGAAAAAGCTGCTTTTGTGTGAACTTTCTGCAGACTGTGAACTTCTGAGCCCCTCCCCTTACATGCTGGGTATAAAACTCTGAAATTACCTGTATTCGGAGTTCAGAGGATTGATTGATTACAGCAAAGGCTGTACCCTCTGAACCTGGCTGCAGCCAAATAAAACTGTTTTCCTGCTACCTTCGGTGCCTTGCCTCTTTGTCCCCACAACATAAGGACATATGGAAATACTTTGATCTTTTGCATGAATAGTACATACTTTCTTTAGCTGGTCTCCCTGGTCATCTGGATTGCTTTCTTCCTTCTGATGAGGAGATTCCTTGCATGGACCTAGTGGTCTGAAGTGAAAGGAAAAGACTAGGTTTCCGCCTTTCGGAAACGAGACGTTTCCATCACTCCTCACTCCAGAGCAAAAGCAGAGTTCTGTGACCCACAAGGCTCTGAGTGATCTCACCTCTCTGTTCCCTCTCTGCACTTATCTTCTTCCTCTCTCCCTTTCTTGGCCTCTCTGGTGTTCCTGGGACCTGCCAAGTACATTTCAACTTAGGACCTTTGCACTTCTGTCTTAATGGGCCTAGAACTCTGCCAGTCTACATGGCTCTCTCATCCCTCAGTCATGTCTGTGCTCAGGTCAGCTTAGCATAGAGTCCCCCTGCCTTGCCTCCACTCCAGTCAGGCCCCCTCCTTCCTAGCCCCATATTTCTTATACTCCTTTATTTTATTATAGCACTTATACCCTAACATATTATTTCCTATTTGTTGATGGTTAATTTTTTGGGGCCTCTCTGTTAAAATGTCAGTTCCACAATGATAAGGATTTGTGTCTAGTTTGATCACTCCTATAGATCCAGTATCTGGCACATAGTTGTGGCTCCATCTATTTTAAAAAGAATGGATTTGGGGAACTATAGCAGGAGATAAGGGAAGGTTATCATAAACACATGGAAGGAGCACATTTTCTGGGGGCATTTTGTCAAATTCTACCTAGATTCATGTACTATCATTACCCCCATTTTATAGATGAGGAAACCTAGACCCAAATGGGTTCAACAACTTGCTACAGTCACAGAGCTACTAAGTGGCAAAGCCCAGACCAAAAGCCTGGCAGCTTGACCACTCTGTGAGGAGATAAAGGGGAGCTCAAGGGTTAGGTCCTGTGGGGGAACCTGGGCAATGATATAATTTTGTATTTGTGTTTCAACCCTGCCTTGTTCAACAAGTGGTAGCCCCAAACTTTCTTCAAAAACCTGCTACATAGAAGAGCCTTGTGTCAAGGGACTTGGGGAAAAAGAAAGACAGGGTGGGTGTCAGACTGCTACTAAGGGAGAGAGATGAATTAAAGGTGGAGAGAGAATTACTCAAAAAGGGTAAATTATTGGGGATTGCAGAAGTCAAAGTTGAAGACAAATGGCATGGGAGAGAATCAGCTCTTTACATAAACATTGATTGGATATCATCTGTATGCCAGGGATCATTGTCCAGTCCCTGCTGATCTTGTGCCTTGGTCCCTTACCTCTGAGTCCCTTTCCTTCCGTGTCCCTCCAAACCTAGAGAACCCAAGAATGGCTGCATCAGAAAGATAGCAGTTCCACAAAATGCTTTCAAGGAACGGAACTAGATAAAGAATATTCCGGGCAGAAAATACAGGTTATTTAAAAATATAGGTTATTAATTTGAGTTTGGGGGGAGGTCAGAGGAGACTGAAAAAAATACAAGACTCTTGGTGGGGGTGGGGGCTAGACAGCAGGGTTTTCAGGTGCTTGACAAGTAGCCATGAGAGCAGGCCATTTGTGGGCTCATTCCCGTGTGCTAAGCCCAGATGGCCTGGATCGCCAGGATGGACCAGAAATTCATATAATTCAGATAGGAGAATAAACCTGGGAGAGAAGATGACAGAGTGAGATACAGAGTTCACTAGGTTAACCCCAATCACGTATCCTACACCACCTCCAGTCCCATCCTCAAACCCATCCTCATTCCTTAATTTATCTCCAAACCCTTCCTCACTCTTTAACTTATCTCCAAACCCATCCCTAAAYCCAAACTTGGCTTTATCTCCTACACTGTCCCCCAACCAACTTTTAAACTCAAACCCAATCCCACATCCAGCCCCACGTGTGTCCTAAACCCCATTTTCACACCTCAAAACCACCCTACCTAGCGCTGTCTGCAACCCTACTGCCATCCCAAACTATCTCACACAATACATATTTTCATGTCTGAACCCACCCATCCCAACTCAGACCATTCATCAGGAATAAGAAGACAGCAGTCCATGCCAGATAGAAGCTGATGCCCAGCTTGTAGGTCATGCCTTCCTGCAGGAACTTGTGGGCCTGCATCAGGTAGAACAGGACGCCCAATATGATACTGGCCCCTGCAAGGACACAGATGTTAGTAGACCAGGAATCAGGTGTGTGAGAACCCCTGCTCAGAGTTGAGCTGATTCATTATTCCCCCCTCTTTTACGACCTCCCCAACCTTTATATCTCTGCTTACAAGGAGAGAACTGGCTCCTGACAATATCATGCTAGAGGGTATCGGAAGTCAAGTCTTGGTCTTTAAAAACTAAGTAACAATATTGAGGAAACCCATAGGCTTTTGTATTAACAGACCAGGTCTCTTATCCTGCCTCTGCACCTCATTTTAGGGCAACCACTCCATCTCTCTGAGCCTCTAATCCGAAGAGTGGGCATATCATAGTACCCATCCTGTAAGGTTAACATGAGGAGATATTGTGATCAGCACATTTCCTGGCGCATAGTAATTCCTCAAAGATGAATTATCATTATGTTAAGTCCTTATTTTTGGTCTTTTGAAACAACAAAGATCTCAATCATTCTGGATAATTTGAAATGTTATGAATTAAAGGTAATTTATAAAAAGGAAAGACTTTTTCAGATTGTGGAGTACTAGCTAATTTGTGTTATAGAAAAATAATACAGATGTTCTCTATTTAGTTAAAAGAGGGAAGCTGGGCACAGTGGTAAATGGGTGCAATCCCAGCTGCTCAGGAAGATGAGACAGGAGGATTGCAAGTTCAAGGTCAGCCTTGGCAACTTAGTGAGGCCCTAAATAACTTAGTGAAACCTTGTTTCAAAATAAAAAAAAATGGGCTGGAGACATAGCTCAGTGGTAAATTGCCCCTGGGTTAAACCCTCAGTGTCCCCCATCTGTCCCCCCAAAGAGGGAATGGACAGAAATGATTTTCTTTTAGAAGAATGTCCTCTTTTAGATGTTTTAAATTAAGGTGGCTTCTGCTATTTGTACCTTATATTTAAACAGTTAGGATAAGCTAGTAGACAAAGTGGATAAATACCAGTTTCTAACAAGGAAACAGGAAGTTGAGAGGTCTCTATTCTTGGCTATACCATCAGTGTCCAAAAATATTTTCCCAAAGCAACTGAAAGTTGTGGTCAATTACTACAACTGACAGGAAGACAACATTCCTCATTCCAGAGCAAAATCTCCCCCCACACACTTTTTGCAACTATGGCATGCAAATGGAAACTAAACATTTAAATCAGTATATCAATT